TGGAAGCCCCGAGTGGCTCCTCCTCCTCCCCCTGCTGCTGTTACAACCGATGCACCTGTAGCGGCAGCCGTCTCCGTAAGGGCTGTATATCGCTCATTGAAGTACTCGACCATGGCGGTCTTAATAGACCCAAACATCTCCAACAGCTGTGCTCAGAACACAGCAACAACCTCATCATTTAGGATCTACGGAATTCTGGCATCCAACTCCTCTATACCTATCTACACCACGGGCTCAGGTGCTGTTGGCCCCTCCTGGCCTCCGCCTCCTGATCCTGAACCGGATCCAGTCACAAAGCATATTGTCATTACCATTCTGAAACATACCACAAGATATCAGATAATCCACATAAATAACTGGGAACCAACTCCCGACTAAACCCTAGGGTTGTGACTTCCCTCATACGCATATGGGTCATGTTCTTTCAGTAGTACGGGCCCATACTACCTTCCACACTTACCCATATTTTTCTCAAGTATCACCACAACACCCTAAAAATATACATAAGCATAGAGAGCGCTCAATACTCACTCCTAGAGGAAGGCTAACTGAATCACGGCTGACCTACCGGCCTTACACAACCCACCCATTCATGAAACTTCTACCAAACCTGCAACATTAGTGTATGCTAATCATACATAATGTTGGACCCTATAGACTTTCGAATATCTGATCCTACCCTAAGCCCTAATAAATAAGAGCAAAACACAAGGTCAAATCAAACATTCTCGGGCTGTAAGATCTTAATTATGTACAACCATGATACATATACAAGTAACTACAGTAATGATGTCAATCTTATCTAATGAAACCCTAGGCTAGCAGGCTTCACAAAATCAGGCAATTCAATCATGCAATTCTTGAGGATCCCTAGCCTAGTACTAGCATGCTTTTCTATCATATCATAATATCAAATAACTGTATTGTATTTTTGGGTCAACTTACTGGCTCCAACTAATCGTACACTTTGCATCCTCCCTTACTTATTTTGAAAACCATTTTAAAAAAAAAAATCATTTTAAAATCTTTCCCTTGATTGACTGAAGTCACACGAGTGTTCCTCCAATTCACTCAAACAAATGCTCTGATACCAACTTGTAACACCCAAAAATTTCATGCCAAAATAAAACTTTTTCAAAACATTTAAAACCATTTATCATTACAAAGTTTGTTTTCAAAATATCTAATATTAGAGTTTTCCAAAAAACATAAACAAATCATGAGGAGTTGTACGATCATGCCTTCGCCTTACCCCGATCTCCTGATGTACCTGAAACAATAAATTGAAATTGTAAGCCTGAAAGCTTAGTAAGTTCCCCCAAAATACCAATGCCATAAAAATATAACTACATCATATAACAAATACATAATAGCATGCATAATGAGCCTTCGGCCTGACTAGACCGCCTCGCATGGCCTACAGCCTATCTGGACCGCTCCCAAGCATTCGGCGTGATTGGACAGCCTCGCACGGCCTACAGGCTATCCGGAACGCTCACCGGGTATGTTGGCCTATAACACAAAGCAGGACCGCCTCAGCCCAACCCCCAGTCAAGCAAACATGTGCACATAAATATCGTACGCTAGCTCATATCATTTAATAGTCAAACCGATCTAATAGATCACTAACCATAGCAACATCCCAATAACCGGGATACAGACCTAACTAGTCACTAACATAGCATCATCCTATAACCAAGGTACTGACCTAACAAGGTCACTAAGCATAAGCATACCACCATCCTAACTACCAGGATGTAATCAATAAATATATCATGCCATAATCCAGATACAAATATATAAAGGGTCGGCCTTGGTTCCTTAGACCCATTGGTATAGTGAGGATAACTCACCTCGCACTGTCGACTCGAAGATAAACTCAAGCTCTTGGATTGCCGGTACAACTCCACCACCTAAATGCACCATAGAACCATGCTTGTAAATTTCCAATTTCCCAAAGTGTCCTAAAAGTCCAAAAGTCAACCCTTGGTCAAGGTCCAAGTCAACTGTCAAACTAAACAATCCATGTTGACCTCAACTCGTCGAGTACAACCAACCACTCGCCGAGTTCCTTGCATACTCACCAACTCGCCGAATCACTTGAGTGACTCGTCGAGTTCCTAGTGTCAGTGGTTGTAACTCCTTGGCCAACTCGGTGAGTTTTCCCCTTACAAGTTGCCGCATTCATACGTGTCCAAAGGTCGGGAAAACCCTAGTTGACTCGCTGAGTCATCGATTGACTCGCTGAGCCCAAGGCAATCTTCATCGGACTCGCCGAGTCGTTCATCCGACTCGTCGAGTCCATTTAGTCCTTCATCCATACATAGGCTTTTTAAGCCATGATAAGGCTCCATATTGTAGATCCAGTCCCCCCAAGGCATGTTTATCACGTAAAGTTGCAAACTTTACGTGCATGCAAGGCCCTAAAGTCTTAAAATGACAAACTAAGCTTGCAATGAAGGTTTTGCACTTAAGGAGAGTCTCATCTTTGAAAAAGTTGGAAGCCTTATGGACTTAAAGACCCAAGAGAGTTCAGATATGAAGTTACAACTTCAAATCCTAGCTTATACACATGCACAGCTTCCAAACATACTAGGAAAGTTCTAAAATCCACCCAAAAGAGATGTAGAATGAAATGAGCCAAGGTAACAACCTAATATCTTCAAAAGGGTGTCAACTGGAGTAGACTTCTGCTTCCCACGAGTTTCCTTGCTTCAATTTACTTGTTTCCCAAGTGTTTCTTCACCAAGATTCCTCTTCTAAGCTTTAACACACCAAAGAAACACACACAAACACACGATTTAGGGTTTAAGGGTGCCAAGGAGCTGTAAAGGGGAGGCTGGGGGAGGCCAATGATCCTTTAAATAGGGTGCAATACCTCGAAATTTAGGGTTTCATCTGCCAGCTCCTATTCGTCGAGTCCCTTCGTGGACTCGGCAAGTAGGTCACTAAATCACGTGGACCAACCCGCTACTACTCGACAAGTAGGGCAACCAGGTCGTCGAGTAGACCTTGAAAACAAGAAAATTCTTATAAAATCGATACCTGAGAATCGGGGCATTACAACATACAACCACAAAATATCATAGACCATACATATAGTTGCCATGATTTGCCCAATGTGTTTACCAGGAATGCATGGGCTCCCCTTACAGTTTGATATCCAGGTACCATGGGTTACCCCCATCGTCCTTACCTGGAATGCCATGGGCTCCCCCACGGTCTGATATCCAAGTGCTATCCAAGTGTCATGACCACCATGGTATTTCATGCATGTATCACGGAGACAACTAGCATTCCACATAACAAGTAATGGACCGACATTGGTGCTTTCGACCCATGGATATAGTGAGAAGACTCACGTTGGAGAACTGAAACCTATAGATACTCTCTGGCTATGGATCCGTTAATATTCCCGCGCTATCAAACATGGATAACATTCTATTAACATTTGGGTTCCAATCCCAAAACCATCAATCCATATAAGGGGTAAAAAGACCATTTTAACCTTCACTAAGTTTGGTCCAAGACTAAGAACCAAACTCACAATCAAAAGGCCCACAAACCAAATAATCATCCAAAGCTCACTTGGGGCCCAATTTTCAAAATTGTGTCCAAACCTTTACATGGGCCTTATGCTAAAACCCATTAACTTTTCCCTAATACAAAAAAAATTGTTCTTAAATGACCCAACAATGCCCTAAACAACCAAGCCCAAAAGACAACCCAAACCCGAAATGACACCACAATGCCTAATAAAGCCCAAATATCCAAATTGGGCCCAAGCCCATAATGGTCCTGACCCCTATAAACATAGAGACTAACATACAAATATTAAGAATATATATTTCTAGAAAGTATGTTGCATCATCCAAAAATAGGTGTAAATGAATGAACCTAAACCTTACTTACTGCATTAATGGCTATATGATAATTCCATGATTATTGGGCAACTTTTGATGGTGATTCTTCTGAATTATGTGTGCTAGAACTCATAATCGCAGTCACAATCTTGATCATTGGAATATGGCATGATATGGATATAACATTAATTGATTTAATGTTTCAAAAAACGAAAGAGTCAACTTTGACTTCAGACAAAGAGAGTAAGCAGAGACTAAAGGTACAATGTTTCGTTTTCTATTAGCACATCTTCTGCTCCAATTGACAACTGATTGTGTGTAAATTGCTTTGAAATGCGAAACTTTTTTTTTTTTAATATTTAAAGTTTTCATCTTTGTAAATACAAATTTTATCTATAATATAAAACATAATTATTTATTTCATAATACAAAATTTGTATATATGAATGAGTTATGTAGCATAGGGGGTATATAGCATCAAAATCATAAAATTATGTTACTGACTTGCTTACAATCTTTGGCAATTCTCTTGAATTTGAATTTTATGGTATAGAGTTCGGTGGCCAAAGTAAATACATAAAACACAAATATTTTAATTTTAACTTTTGTTTTATTTTTGATGAAATTTTTTCAGGGTAACTAATTATTCCACATCTCTTACTATAAAACTCCACTGGTTGCTGTCCAGCACCAACATGCAATAGATAGGAAATCGTATTTGGAATTAAGATGAATTACAACCGATACAAAATTTCAAATGTTCTCTATATATTGTTTAAAGCTCTATTGGAATTTAAATTTCAGTCGTTATTTGTTTGACATATATTGTAGAAAATGATTTATCGTATGTATTTAATCTACCATTGTTACTTTTGCTACTTGTTACATTTATTGGAAATCCAAGTGATGGAAAAACTTGTTGCTAAATTACAGCTTAAAAATTTCAAGGTGTAATTTAGCAACAAGTTTTTCCATCACTTGGATTTCCAATAAATGTAACAAGTAGCAAAAGTAACAATGGTAGATTAATACCCTTCATGACTCATTAGGTAAATAAAATTTGTTTGTAATTTAGCAACGACCGTTCACTTGCTTTGTTTTAAGTTAAAATAAAGCAAGTGAACGGTCGATTACAAACAAATTTTATTTACCTAATCCGTCATAAAGGGTATTAATCAATAGATTTGTCCTTGACTAGTACTTGATTTTCCACAAGTGAAGATTCTAAAAGGATGGCGATCTTCACTGATTTATTTTTGTATCTACTACATAATGATTTATGAAAACATATTAAAAGTTACGTAACAAAAGGCATTTACATAAAGACATTATCAGGATGAGTATAAGGAACATAATAAGAGCAAATAACATTGAAAGTACAGTAATATCAAGCCTTCATCAACAGATTTGAGACTTGGCGCATAGTTGGCCTTTCTTGTGGATTCGAGTTCAAACATGCTCTTGAGAGATTGAGTACTAAATTTACTTGTTTCTCAACTTGTGGCGAAGGAAGTGGAATCCGACTATATCCAACATTTTCTAATACCAGATAATCAGCAGACAATGTTGGTAGTTCTCCGTGAAGCTTTCCCATGATCATTTCTAGTGCGACAATCCCAAAGCTATAGACATCACATTTCTCGGTTGCCACTATCGTATAAGCAAGATCTATATCCAAACAAACATAAAATAAAAACAAAAAATGCAATATCCAAGGCTTCCTTTTCAAGGTATTCATAAATAAATAAAATGAGTGGCGGGCATGTGAGGAATATCCATAAAGTTTCACTATGTTTCGATGTCTTATGTTGGTTAATGCTCGTATCTCATTAAGGAATCCATTATGATCAACATACTCAAATGATGAGTGATGTTTCTTGATAGCTACCATATTGTTAGGTTGTATCTCGACTTTGTAAACAGTCCCATAAAAAACCAAATTGTTAGGTTGTACCTCTGGTCCCAATACAATATGCTTCATCGAAATCATTTGTTGCCTTCAAGATATCATCATACACTACTTTTCCATCAAAACTTGTAATGGAGAAATAATCACCACTTTCTTCTTCTAATGGTTTATGTGGAGAGCTTTTCTTTTGTTTTCGATAAGCAATGAGGCCACACATGAAAAAACCAAATAAAACTGCCCCAATAGGAGGGAGCATAATTACAAGGAAGAGCTTATGATGAAACAAGTAGTTTTTCTTCTTGATAATTTGACTTGCACAAAGTTTCACTCCCGTAGCATTTCCACACAAACCTGGATTACCTTGTATGGATGCATTAATAAAGTTGGCGCACGGGGGAACCGGACCTAAGAGCTCATTGAAAGACAGGTTGATATCAATCCCACATGGCAAAATTGTAAAAGTATTAGGAATAGAACCATATAGTCTATTGTGAGAAAGATTCAATTTTTGTGGATTTTTCAAACTTTGAGATTCAGATAGTATCTCTTTTGTGAGTAAATTATGAGATAAATCAAGTTCCGTAAGTTGAACTACATTACCAATCTCCGATGGAATTTTCTCACTTAGCATGTTATTACTAAGATTCAAGTAGTGGATATGCTCACATTGACTAATACTTTTTGGTATTGACCCATTCAATCTATTTGTGGATAGATCGAGTACTTCAAGGAGTTCACAAGATCCGATCTCTAGACGTATAATGCCTGAAAAGTGGTTATCAGTCAAGGATAATTTCAAAATACTATTCATCTTCCCAAACTCCTTTGGGATCTCACCAGTCAAGTGATTAAAAGAAAGATCCAACCTTTGTAGTTGAGTTAAATTTCCAAACTGTGGTGGTATGCCACCGGTGATGTTGTTATAGGCCATCACTAAGCTTTCTTAAATTCTTGCATTTACTCCACTTTTCAAAAATCTTACCATGAAAATTATTGTGACAGATATCAAAGTAATTTAAGTTAGAATGTACCCCAAAGCTATTTGATATATCTCCACTGAATTGATTATGATCAAAACAAGCTCTTATTAGGATAGTACAATTTCTTAAGCCCCTTGGAATAGGACCAGTGAGTTGATTATCGTCTACCATTAAACTTTGAACCTTTCCCCTATCACACAAACCTTTAGGCAAATGGCCAGAAAATTTATTTTCATCATTTTCATCTATTTCTAGCACAACCAAGTATAGACTTCTCAATCCTTGTGGAATCAAACCAGATAATTGATTGTGGCGTAGGAACAGACTCTGTAGGTTGCTCAAGTTTGCTAGTGATGAAGGAATAGAATCACTAAGCTGATTTTCGCTCACCGCAAGCTTAGTGCGAGACTTCAAATTCCCAAGTTCAGTAGGAATTGGACCAGAAAATTCATTGTTATGGAGGTATAAAATCTGTAGATTGCTCAGGTTTCCTAGTGATAAAAGGAATAGAGCCACTAAGTTGATTGTAGCTCACTTGAAGATCAATGAGAGACTTCAAATTCCTGATTTCAATAGGAATGTGGCCAGAGAGTTGATTATCGCTCAAATGAAGAACATTCAAAGATCTCAAATCACCCAATGATGAAGGAATAGAACGACTAAGCTGATTTTGGCTCAACAAAAGATCAGTGAGAGACTTCAAATTCCCACGTTCAATAGCAATGGGGCTAGATACTTTGTTCGCGAGTAGGTAGAGATACTGTAAGTTGCTCAGGTTTGCTAGTGATGAAGGAATAGAACTATTAATCTGATTGTAGCTCACAACAAGATCAGTAAGAGACTTCAAATTCTCAAGTTGAATAGGAATGGGACCAAAGAGTTCATTGTAGTGCAAATAAAGGAAATTCCAAGATGTCAGATCACCCAATGTTGAAGGTGTTGGGCCACATATATTGTTTGAGAATAGGTACAAGATGGTTAGATGGAGAAGGTTTCCTATCTCAGGTGGGATTACTCCAGAAAATTAATTTGCTTAAAAATCAAGATAAACAAATTTGGATAAGAGTCAGATTTCTTTTGGGATGGTACCAAAGAAGTTGTTTACATTGAGATCAAAATGTGTAACATTTTGTAGCAAAGACAATGAAAATCCATGAAGTGTACCCTTTAATCTAGATGATGTGAGGTTCAACTTTTGAATGCTCCCGTCAGCATAAACAGATCTTACAATCATTTACACTAGTGATTTAAATATCTTTTAATCTCTCAGTGTAATATAGCTTCGTATCGACACCTATGATATAAATATATTGAGTGGGTCAGGTTGGAAAACCTGGTGAGTACATAGGGATTTCAACCCCACAATTTTATGTCATATATATATATATATATATATATATATATATATATTAGAACTCACAAATTATATATAATTTCACCATATATAAGCAACTTTACCATACCCCGTCGATCCTCACAACGACACGATCCATACTCTCGGATCTAAAATTGACCTATTTACTTAATCCTTACTCTCGGATCTAAAACTAACCTCTTTACCTGATCCATACTCCCATATCTGAAACTAACCTCCTTACTTGATCCATACTCCCGGATGGGGTATGTCTGATCCATAATCCCAGATCAATAGTTATGCCCATTCCATACTAGGGACAATTTACTATGTCTAATCCAAACTCTCGGATCAATATCAAGTTCTAAAGTTATTCCCTCTGTTTATATCTCACTCATACTCGTAAGGAGATACTACCCAATATTCTCCTTAATTAATTTAGGTTTACTCTGTATCCTAAATCATCATATATTATCAAGTATGCTCTTTCACACGTATTTCAAGCAATATCAAATATTTCACAATAAACATATAATTTAATACATTAATCAATACTTGTATTAAAATCATGTTCATGAAAGGAACTATACACTCACATTATTAGTGTGATTGAATAGAATCTAACTAGAAACGGTTAGTGGTTCGTGATCGTCGGGCTCAGGACATGAAACGCCTTCAACAAACAAGAGAGAGGTAAGAAGATTTGGTGTAAGGAAGATTAGGGTCGAACATGATACTTACAGGTTGTCAATAACATGTCCACGTTGTGGGATTATATGTCCACATCGTGGCGGATGGTTGAATCACTTTGTAGGCTTGCCATCTTCGTTTTAGCTTAGAAAGGTGTCCGGATGACATTTCCACGTCTTGGTCTTTATGTCCGCATCGTGGGATCTTAACACATCACTCCCATAGACTTATCACATGTTTTTCTAGCCTCGATTAGTCTCCTTGACTAATTTCATATTGTGGAATTAATTTCCACGTCGTGGACTTGAGGCGGCTAGGGTTTCGGCCACGTGTCATGCCCTCGGATAGTTACATCTTCGGAAGGTCATAGCTTTTGCATAAGAGCTTCGTTTTTGACGTTCTTTATATCCACATGTAGGTGCGTACTCTACAACTTTAGTTTAAATCACTAAGGCCAAAAAGTAATTTATCGTAAACTCACTTTTTACGATTTCCATTGTCGTGTCGGTTTTGTCGCGAAATTTCGTCAGCTCATAACTTCTTCGTTATAATTCGGATTTCAGCGTTCTTTATATGTACGAAAACCTTGTGACATATACTAAAACTTAGTTAAGATTATTTATTATAAATAATCCTCTATAAAAAAGTCATTTTTTGATGCTTATCGTCTGTAAATTGACTAGCCCGAATCTATGGGAGTCACACACAAGCTTTGTGCATTAAACGGATAAGGGAAAAACAGATGATTTAGAAATTTGTTGTTATTATCATTTAGGGTTATTTCTTGAGATAAGCAAAACAATGACCAAAAGAGAGACAAGTGAATAACACCAAGTTGTCATATTTTAAACTTTTACAAAAGGCCATGTATTGCGATAAAATATAAGTCATGAACCACTCTTCCCATAAATGGTTTTTTTGCGCATATTTTGCAAAAATAGTGTTATTTATAAAAAATGAGCTCACTTCTAAAAAACTGCAAGTTTTGTTTTTGAATATTTTTCTAATCAGAGCTTCTAGAACAAGAAAGAAAAACAACTTCTAATGGCATCAACCATTACAATCAATTTATCTCAGTTCAACTTATTTCATGTTAATTGAGCCGTCCACAAACAGTACAAGAAAAAAGGCAATTAGTGGCGACAAAAGTCGCCGCTAAAGGGTTTAAATGTCGCCGGTAATAGTAATAGCGGCGACACGTCACCGGTAATAAGTCACCGCTACTGCTCTGTCGCTATTGATCAAATTGTCGCCGTTAATGATTATGTCGCCGGTAATGCTTCATGTCGCCGCTAAGACCCCGTCGCCGGTAATAACATTTTTCATTTTTTTCATTTTTTTAATCAACGATTTTGGTCGCCAGTAATTACATAACAACATGCGATTAAATATCAAATACTGTTATAATTAATTCCATACCAAAATAATAGAACCAAAAACTTTACAATTCTAACAAATAGTAAAGGGTGAAAACAAGTTTAACATACAAATAAAGCACCTCCCTACATACCATCATCTCCGTTCCCATTGTTTCCTCCTTGATTATTCTGTGATTGAAAAAACAAATAAAGCTCCTCCCTACATGCCTGGTCATTGAGTATTGCCCGATGATTTTCCAACAACATAATAAATAACAACATATAAAAACTTATAAGTTAAATTATCAAACATAAACAAAAACTACCCAAGTACATTGTTATTTTTAAACTAAGACAAAAAGCCAAAGTACATTGCTATTTCTTGCACTTGGGACAGAAACCCAATTACCAAAGCTTTTAGCAATTAATCACCACAAAACCAAAATTACCAAATTATCATGCATTTTATGATGACAAAAGTACATAGCTTTTTTTAAACTAAGACAAAAAGCCAAAGTACATTGCTATTTCTTGCACTTGGGACAAAAACCCAATTACCAAAGCTTATAGCAAATAATCACCACAAAACCAAAATTATCAAATCAACATGTATTTTATGATGTCAAAGTAGATTTCTATTTTTAAACTAAGACAAAAAAAAAAAAACCAAAGTACATTGATATTTCTTGAACTTGAGACAAAAACCTAATTACCAAAGCCTTTAGAAAATAATCACAACAAAAAACAAAAGTAGATTGTTTTACCTATGATGGTTGTGGTGGTGGTTGTGATGGCTATGATATCGGTAGGAGAGAAGAAGGTTTACGGCCGATGCCTCTGATATAGCCATGTCGCTCTCCTAATACTTTCTCAAAAGCAGCTCTTTCTTTAACGGGTGTTAACTCACTTTCACCTTAGGTTTGTTCTAAGAGCTCTTCGACTAACCAATTCTACAATTCCCAAAAGTGAGTAACAATTAAGTATAAATAAACACTTAATTATACGATAAAATTATAATTAAATACTTACATATTGTTGTTCCGCCTAGACAATAACAAATACACCATCCCTATCAGTATGAGCCTTGCAAAAAGTTTCCACTCTCTTAAGGTTCTGTTTAACATTAAAAATTACATTATATTTTAAATAAATAATTACATGTATCGTACGTTACCTTCTTATAGCAAGTACTGCTATACGAATTCGACCCCGACGATTCACGGTCGTTTGCATTTGACAAACGTTTTTGTTCCTTTCTGAAACAATTTTGTGTTTGTCCGTTTGGAAATACTCAAATCTTTCTTCCAATTATCAACATCCATACCATCTGGAGGGTTGGCTAGTGTTCTCGGGATATCATGACACCCTCCGACTTCCATAAAATATTCGTTTGCATTAGCTTTACGGTCTCGATAACCTTTTAACAAAGTTGCTTGAAAACTCTCTATCAACATATTAGCTTCTACATCCTGGTACATCTGATCCAAATCAAACTTTGTCTACAAAAAAGTTAACCAAGTAAAAACCAGTCACAATTAACAATATAGATATTTTTAAATAAATAATTTACCCCTAAATGTTGTATTACTGTGTCCTTTATTGTCGGGGAAACTTTTTTCTAAGTCCATTTATCAAAAGGTATCATCTGCCACATTGTTTTTTCAACTTCTCGTGAAAACATGTCTTTTGGCTCTCCTACGGGATCATATGTCATATCCCTATCATAATCCATGGTAATTGGCTTGCCCTTATTCAGTAAGAGCGCTCTTTCAATCTTTATATTTTTTTGCTTTGACTCAGACTTTTCTACATACATGTTTCTCAACTACAAATATAATTAAAATTATTAGAAACGGTATTTAATTTATAATAACTGAATAAAAATAGTAAATAAAACATCCATATCCTTTTTTATTGTCTCATACATTCCTCGTTTATTGTCCATAACAACATAGCTCTCATTGTGAAGAATGTGTTTGTCGCCGCATCTTTAATATGTATGCCTGAGTTCCACAAATGTTTAAGCTCTTCTACCAATGGCCTAAGGAAAACATCCATATCCTTATGAGGAGCTTTCGGGTCGGGAATCAATAAATTCAACATGAATGATGACTCTTTGATACAAAGCTAGGGTGGCAGATTGTATATGGTGAATATGACCGGCCATGTGCTATGTGGATTACACATGTTTCCAAATGGATTAAAACTATCAGCTGAAAGACCTAAGCATACGTTATGAGGTTGAATCAAGAAGTCAGGGTTTTTTTTTTTATCAAAATCTTGCCAATGTTCCCTATCAATAGGATGACGCATCACATCATCTTCTGAACGTCCGGTACTATGCCAAATCATATTTTTGGCAGTGTGTCTCAAACAATATAAACGTCGTAATCTAGGGTCACAGGAAAGTACCATAACACCTTATGAGCTACTTTGTTACCCTTGGTGTTTTTATTGTTCCATCGACTCTCTTTACAAACGAGAAAAACTTGCAATGAACTGTGCTCTTTCCAAAAGAGAAAACAATCGTTTTTGCACACATGTATAGACTCATATCCCAGACCAATAGACTTCAATTTCTTTTTGGGTGGATAATGTGGAAGGGAAACCTTATTGTCTGCAGGAAATGCTGATTGCAACAACTCAAGGAGTTGATCAAATGAACTATCAGTTCATTTGTTGTTCACCTTGATATGCATTAACTTTGCTAGAATCTCAAGGGAAGAAAAGGTGCAACCATGATACAATTTAGTTTCCACTTCTTCTAACAACCGTGTAAAATCATCAGCCACACCACTACCCCTTGTATTTGATGTTCCTTCATCGAGGTTGGTATCATTTTCTTTTGACTCCCACATCACATCGTTGATTAAATCGGCCATTTTGTTACTTGGCAAGACGACTAGAGGAATTAGAGATTCACCATGATAGATCCAAGTTGTGTACGACTTATTGAAACCATTTATAAATATATGGTGTTCCACTACAGTCAGGTACTTAAAGTAACGGTTATCAAAACTTTGACACGCACATCTGATTTTACCATTACTATCAAGGTGTGACTTGGACTTCTCGATAAAAGCTTTGAGTCTTGCTTGGAACTCGTGATAGTTTCAATGTGGATTACTAGTCCAACTTTTATCAATAGACATGATGTTGCTAAAACATAATTTCGGGTTTAGAGTTTAGTCTACGAAATTAGCATTGTTTTTTTTACAATTATAGCATTGTACTTTAAACAATTATTTGTGACTCACAAAAGTAGATATTACAATTTAAAAAATAAAAAATTAAAAAATTAAAATTAAAATTTTTTATTTATGCATTTTTTTGATTAATTTTAATTATAATTACTTGTAATTTATATAGGCAAAAGTTGTAAGTAATAAATAAAAATGTCAAAGATCCAATGAATCAATTTTTTCCACACATTTGTTTTATTTATATTAGTTGTACAAACATACACATGATTATTGAAACAAAAATTGTTTGTTTCTTTTAATATGTTTAGCGCTTAGTTTTTATTGAATAAAAAATTAAATAAAGCAAAATTAATAATTTGGTGTATCCATAAAAAGCTTTTCTTACTATTGTACCTTATTATATATATTTTTTATTTATAACATTTTTGTTTTTTTTAATTATAACATTGTATTTTAAACAATTATATTATGTTGTTGTGTTATTCTTTTTTACCGTTGAGATTGAAAAAAAATATATTTTTTATTTATAGCATTGTATAAATTTGTTGCAAATAAAAAAAAAATTAAAAACTAAAAAGGACATGAAAATATAACAATTTCTAACTTTTGTTTTAAAAATACACATTTGAATTATGCATTACTTTTTTTTTCCTATGTGTTTCATAGAAACCTTCAAAATCATGATACATTAAGCAATTAGATGAATTATGTTGTTTTTATGTATCGCCGATAAGGAAAATACGAGCGCCAACAAAAGTATTGGTAAGATTCAAAGAATATAAAGATCTATATGCACAAATTCCTGGTTTCTTTTGTATACTTTCACACCCTCCAAGTGTTTGTTTTAATTCCCCTGTGAGTTTTTTCATAATTTGATCCCATGTGATGTTTTTTTTTTGTTGATTCACATGATGTTTCTTCTTTTGATGCTGAACTTGGGAAGACATTGCAAGAATTTCAAGCTCTTGTTTGTCGGAAAAAGTACCTTGAGTCAACACCCAGGCATGATTGCAATGCAATACTTGGCTTAAACTTTCAAGGTGCTCCAGTTGAAGATCTTTGTTTGGACTTCACAGTTCACACTTCTTGGTTTTCCAAATGACATTTTAAAACCTGGCAACGAAGATGTATTTACTCATTCTTTTACCTTTCCATGTTTTTCCTTCTAGCATTGGTTGATAAGGCTGTTGTCTATATTCTTAATTCATATGCTTCGTATTTGGGAATGACAGTTCAATATAGATAATTTGGAGGAGTACATTTCCCTTGTAGTTGTTGCTACTATCAAGACAGGTTTCATAAGGCAACTGGAAGCATCTAAAGCCGGTTTTAATCAGGTCGTATTTATGTTTTATATTTTTTATATCTTTGTAATTTATTTCATGTTGCTTCTTGAAGTCTCCTGTATAAAAGAAATGATGATTTTTCATATGTTCTCTTTTCTTACATATGGGTGACAACACGTTACAATTTTATTGTTATAGATGCAATATAAAATCTTTTACAGAAGTGGGTTTGCTATCTATTTTCCTGAGACATATTTTCAACATCTTTTCATTATTTTATTTAAATAAGTTTCAACTAATTTGTATGTTTTCCCAATGATTAGGTCTTTGACGTTTCGACTTTGCAAATGTTCACCTCAAATGAATTATATCATTTACTATGTGGTCAACGAGAGTTATGGGAGGCAAGGTTTAAAGACATTATTGGTATTTCTTAGTTCTTTCATAACGAGGGTTTTTTAGTCTTGCTTTCTTGTCCAGTAATCTCTTTTTTTTTCTTAATTCCAAAATAGCAACTCTCGTATTTATTTTCAGAAATAAGAGGATGCTGGTTTTCATATGAAATTTGGTTGAGATTTGGCTACTTTGAGTGTTGATTATTAATCTTTTAGATTGTAATTCGATAAAACAGTAGTTGATTATTAATCTTTTTCCTAATACACCCTAGCCCCTTCATGTTTATATTTTTTTCTTTTTTGTTTAATTGTTTTGTAATGTAAACAAAGTTGTGATTTTTTTTTTCACAACAAAATCTATATGTATTTGGCAACACTGTCTCCGGTTTTTTAAATAGAATATGAAAATATAAAATCAATTTTTTTTTACTGAAGCTTGAACTCATTATCAAGGTTGCATATGCATATGTTTATTCATATGCATGTGTCATATACCTTTGAATATGCATATAGTTATGAATATGTCATATATTTATTCTTATTCATATGCAAATATCATACACGTATTCTTATGAATATGTATATAGTTATTAATATACATATGCATATACTTATTTTTTATGTATATGTTTATGTTTATTCATATATATATACAAATGCATATGCTTATTTATATGCATATGCATATATAAATGCATATGTCATATACTTATTCTTATTATTTAGGTTTTTAAATGTTATTATCATTTGTTGTAATTTTTTAATGTTGTTTTTAATTTATGATTTATTAAGATTTTTATTTTAGTTTTTAAATGTTATTTTTAATTTATGATTTAATTTATATGATAATTTTAAATATTATGACATAAATAAAAAAACAAATGGGAAAAATAGAAATTAAAAACATCAAAAAAGAAAAAAAATAGAAAATAAAGGGTGTTATCACATGTTATCTGGTGTTGCATATTTCCACATTGAGTGTTATAACACCAAAAGTGTGACTAGGATGATGAGGTGGATATTTTGGGAAAAATTGGGTCCTTAAATTTAATTATGTAAGGAATATTATACTAACTCCATCTCAAAATTATAATTCATCTTTCCTTTTTGATTTGTCCCAAAATAATAGTCCACTTCTAAAAAAATAACATTTTTACCAAAAAATACTCCGTCATTATTATTTAACCAACTAAACATTTAATGAAACATTAAATGCTAAGTAATGACGAAACTGTCATTTTATTGAATAAAGTTAATAGTAATTAATGTTTTTTTTAATCTATGTGTTTTTTTTGTCTATGAATAATAATTTTGGGATAGAGCGAGTATCTCTGTGGTTCTAGTCTTTTGGATTATCAAAGCAGCTAAAGAAAAGTTGGTGATGACTCGTGTTTATCAATAGGGATCTGTTATTAATAACACCGTTTTTATCTTCCTACTCCTTGATTTATTACTAATTTGGTACATGTTTTATACTTTTAAATTTTATAACAATTTTTTCAGAGTATTAACCAATAAAAAGAAAATATCTTTTTTAACACATTGAAGAATGTGTCCAGTGCATGTGTAATGTTTTAATCATATTTCTGACAAGTTTTGAAATTGTTTTAATCACATTTTCAACCACAACAACAAACCCATATTCGGCCACCAACCACCGTCGTCAGCCACTACCACTGCCGTCAGTGGCTACCGGAAAGATAAGGAGAGAGACTAATATAGATAGAGAGAGAGAGAGAGAGAGAGATGTCGCCATTATCCAATACCTCACCACGTATTTCACGGGAGAAGAATGTGAATCGTCATAATCAGACAAGTGTGAGAAAGAAATACTCGTCGGAGCGTTGTACAAATGGGTAAAACGGTGCCGGAAATTTGAAAACGTCCCTTGAAATCGTCTGAATCGTTGGAGAGTGAGAAATAAATAGTCGTAATTTGAAAACCTCGCTGGAAAGCGCATGACACCTCGCCAAAAATCGTCGGAAGCGCCGCCGGAACTCGAATGGGCAGTGGCCGAAAATCGCGTGAATAGTGGCCGGAAATCACCTCTCTCACATCTTGGCGGCTAGAGCTTGTTGGAATCCTAAGTCGATGAGGACTTGGAGACCAAGCAATCTAATTTATGGAAAGTTTAGTTTATGGCAAGTTGGTCATAAGTTTCCTAGTCTAATACAAGTTGGTTTGTTAGGCTATATATATACCTATCTGTAATCGAGTTTATGATTATGAGAACAGATTGTAAAAACATTGGTTTTGAGTGATTTTCCAATTAATCAAAGAGTTATATTGGTTATTTGTTTTGCATTCTTGTTTTCAAAACTTTAATTGGTATCAGAGCTTAGGTTGAGAAGCTGTGAGATCGATTTGTACCTGTTGACGAGTCAGGTCAACATGACAGATATAGGGGGAGAAAGAGAAGCTCCGGTGAGAGTGAAGGAGGTTGGGACAACCTCAGTTTTGTGTCCGATGCTCACATCCACTAACTACACCGTGTGGGCAATGCGTATGAAGGTTGTCTTACGCATCCACAAAGCCTGGACTGTGATTGATCCAGGAACCGATGTCAATGAAGAAAAGGACTGCCTTGCCATGGGTTTGCTATATCAAGCCCTACCAGAAAACCTCATAATGCAAATTGGAGATCAGGATTCAGCCAAGAAATTGTGGGATGCGATTAGAGCACGTAATGTGGGCGCAGATAGAGTTTAAGAAGCGAGATTACAAACCTTGATGTCGGAATTCGATCGCCTGAAGATGCTCGAGTCAGAAACAATCGATAGCTTTGCCGGAAAGCTGTCCGGAATCGCGTCTACATCGTCGGCATTAGGAGAAACGATTGAGGAATCAAAATTAGTGAAGAAATTCCTCAAATCATTACCCAGAAACTTCATTCACATCGTTGCATCTCTTGAACAGGTACTAGATTTAAAATAGGTAGGTTTTGAAGACGTAGTGGGTCGATTGAAGGCATATGAAGAAAGAATAAGGGAAGTCGATGCTGGAGAAGGACAATCGAGGGTTTTATTTGCCGAAAAATCGACCGGAGATGGAGGTGGGTCGTCAACTGGTGGGGGTAACTCATCGGGAACGAAGGGAAATTGGAAAGGATCGATTGGGTCTAATAAAGCAAATGAGTTTAATGGGACTAATGGGTCAAGTGGATCCGGATATAGTGGGTTATCCAGGTCGGGCGGATCAGGCGGGCCCAAAGGGAATAATAGGGTTTCTCAAAGCAGTCGGCCCAATAAACTGTCCAATTCTAATTCTGATTGCAAAAATTGTAATTGTTGTTGTGGGAAGAATCGGAAAAATAGGGAAAAGGATCGATCTAAGGTGATTTGTTTTCGGTGTGACAAACCGGGTCACTTTGCTTCTGAATGTTCGGAACGACTCCAAAAATTACAAGACGGTGATTTTTCGGAACGTGACGACAGTGATGAATCCGTTTTTTAAATACGGATCGGGTTGAAGAATTCTCTAGAAGGACTTAGAGATTCGGGGGTGATTGTTGGAATCCTAAGTCGATGAGGACTTGGAGACCAAGCAATCTAATTTATGGAAAGTTTAGTTTATGGCAAGTTGGTCATAAGTTTCCTAGTCTAATACAAGTTGGTTTGTTAGGCTATATATATACCTATCTGTAATCGAGTTTATGATTATGAGAACAGATTGTAAAAACATTGGTTTTGAGTGATTTTCCAATTAATCAAAGAGTTATTTTGGTTATTTGTTTTGCATTCTTGTTTTCAAAACTTTAATTGGTATCAGAGCTTAGGTTGAGAAGCTGTGAGATCGATTTGTACCTGTTGACGAGTCAGGTCAACATGACAGATATAGGGGGAGAAGGAGAAGCTCCGGTGAGAGTGAAGGAGGTTGGGACAACCTCAGTTTTGTGTCCGATGCTCACATCCACTAACTACACCGTGTGGGCAATGCGTATGAAGGTTGTCTTACGCATCCACAAAGCCTGGACTGTGATTGATCCAGGAACCGATGTCAATGAAGAAAAGGACTGCCTTGCCATGGGTTTGCTATATCAAGCCCTACCAGAAAACCTCATAATGCAAATTGGAGATCAGGATTCAGCCAAGAAATTGTGGGATGCGATTAGAGCACGTAATGTGGGCGCAGATAGAGTCAAAGAAGCGAGATTACAAACCTTGATGTCGGAATTCGATCGCCTGAAGATGCTCGAGTCAGAAACAATCGATAGCTTTGCCGGAAAGCTGTCCGGAATCGCGTCTACATCGTCGGCATTAGGAGAAACGATTGAGGAATCAAAATTAGTGAAGAAATTCCTCAAATCATTACCCTGAAACTTCATTCACATCTTTGCATCTCTTGAACAGGTACTAGATTTAAAATAGGTAGGTTTTGAAGACGTAGTGGGTCGATTGAAGGCATATGAAGAAAGAATAAGGGAAGTCGATGCTGGAGAAGGACAATCGAGGGTTTTATTTGCCGAAAAATCGACCGGAGATGGAGGTGGGTCGTCAACTGGTGGGGGTAACTCATCGGGAACGAAGGGAAATTGGAAAGGATCGATTGGGTCTAATAAAGCAAATGAGTTTAATGGGACTAATGGGTCAAGTGGATCCGGATATAGTGGGTTATCCAGGTCGGGCGGATCAGGTGGGCCCAAAGGGAATAATAGGGTTTCTCAAAGCAGTCGGCCCAATAAACTGTCCAATTCTAATTCTGATTGCAAAAATTGTAATTGTTGTTGTGGGAAGAATCGGAAAAATAGGGAAAAGGATTGATCTAAGGTGATTTGTTTTCGGTGTGACAAACCGGGTCACTTTGCTTCTGAATGTCCGGAACGACTCCAAAAATTACAAGACGGTGATTTTTCGGAACGTGACGACAGTGACGAATCCGTTTTTTAAATACGGATCGGGTTGAAGAATTCTCTAGAAGGACTTAGAGATTCGGGGGTGATTGTTGGAATCCTAAGTCGATGAGGACTTGGAGACCAAGCAATCTAATTTATGGAAAGTTTAGTTTATGGCAAGTTGGTCATAAGTTTCCTAGTCTAATACAAGTTGGTTTGTTAGGCTATATATATACCTATCTGTAATCGAGTTTATGATTATGAGAACAGATTGTAAAAACATTGGTTTTGAGTGATTTTCCAATTAATCAAAGAGTTATTTTGGTTATTTGTTTTGCATTCTTGTTTTCAAAACTTTAGAGCTTGTGCTAGGTAAAACGATAGTGTGCTTTTTATATTTACAACTTTACATTAACAACCTCCAATTTTAAAGATACTTCATTTTATACCCTCTAACTTAATATAGTTTATAATTTTTGTATGTGTATTTATTTTATATATATATATATATATATATATATATATATATATATATATATATATATAGGGAAAAGTGAATATACCCTTAAGGGTATATAAGCTTAGGTATCCAAACTCATAATAATACGTTGTTTTGTTTGATATATTCATTATAATATTGTTAAACTTAAATCCTTAACTTGATTTATATTCAATATCTTTAAATTTTCACTATTATCTTCCTCTTACATCACATCTTTTTGTCGAACACTTACTAAGCTATATATATTATTGTTGAAAATGACAATTATATAAGAGGAAGATAAATATGAAATCGATAAAAATCTTTGAAGTAATTCAAGTTAGAAGTTGAATTATAAGAACATTGGACAATTACAATGTCTATATATGATAAAAAACGATGTAGTATGAGAAGTTTGGGTACCTAAGCTTATATACCCTTAAGGGTATATTCACTTTTCCCATATATATATATATATATATATATATATATATATATATATATATATATACACACACACACACACACACAGAGAGAGAGAGAGAAAGAGAGAGAGAGAGAGAGAGAGAGGAGGGTTCAATTGAGAAAAAAAGGTTGAGAATGGGGGAATCATTCTCAGCCAATCATTTATTTTTGCCGCAAAAGTCTTCAACGTATTGGCGGAAATAGGAAAGGAATGCACATGTGTTTTCCAACAAAATATGTTTCCTTAAACTATGCTAAGCATTACCTTAATGTATATACAAAAACATAGTTTTTTCGTTTTTTTTATTTTTTATTTTTAAGAAACTATTTTTATCGTAAAATGATTTTAAATATACCAAAATTCATGATTTTTTATTATCTACAAATAGACATCCATATTGATATAGTTTTAAGATAAAATAAAAAACTTTTTTTTTTATATTTTCAGCTATCGTTATTCATAAGTGAATAAAAATGAATCAGGTTTTTACTACAATCCATTCGTTATTCACTTATGAATAAAAACTATGATTAATTTTTTTTAAATTTAAGTATCATTCATATATGAATATAGCATATACTAAACATAGTATATTCATATCTAAATATTAGACGATGCATTCACTTGTGAATATTACATAGTATATTCACTTGTGAATGTTAGATGGTATATTCACTTATGAATATTAGATGATATTTTCATATGTGAATATTATATAGTATTACATGGTATATCACATGAGAATAGTACATAGTATATTCACTTGTGAATATTAGATCGTATATTCACTTGTGAATATTAGATCGTATATTCACTTGTGAATATTAGATCGTATATTCACTTGTGAATATTAGATCGTATATTCACTTATGAATAATAGTTGGTATATTCATATGTGAATATTGTACAGTATATTGATATATGAATATTACAAGGTGTTTTCAGATATATATATAATTTTTATATGTTATTCACATATGAATAACATACAGATTTGCATATTTGTTTTGTGTTTTAATAATCACATATGCACTGTAATTTTTTTTTTTACCGTTTTCATTCTTTTAACAAAAAGGGATCAACACCGCCTCATCCACTCCTCATCGATTCTGCTTCCCAACCATCATTGATTTAATTCGCGTTGTCGGCTTCAAATCGAGTTTTTCTCTTTGCCCCACTACCTCTCCACCAAACCTTCCCTTTGCTAGAAAGTTCGATTTCTGGTGGAAAAAAGGAATACCTCATTCTTGCAATTGTAGTGAAGTGGCACCGACGACGGTGGCTTTGACACAACAGACCTCCGATAGAGACAAAATGATTGACGGGTCTCCCTGTGCGATTCATCTTTAATCAATTTTTTGTGAAGTTGAGGTGCCCTCTTTTCTTCCCTCTATTTTCTTCTTATGATGGTTCTGGAATTCAATACATACATTACGAATCCATAAACAGTTACAAAAATCTCCCAAATCGGTGAAGAATTAGGGCATGTTATATCAAATCGATTACGTTCATTTAAACAATTTTATTGGCTGTTTGATTTATCCGTGGCATAAGTATAATCCACATAATTTGTCTTCCTCATATGAAGATATGATATTTACCCTGCAGCTTCAAGATTTAAGGATTTTAGAAAAATTTAGTAGTTCAACTGAACGTTGCGATTGTAGAAATGGTAAATCAATTCATTAAACTGCAATTAGAGGTCAGTGAATTGGAGAAGATGATACAGATCAATGATGTTGTTGAGAGATTGAATTTAGCAAAAATGGTATTAGATGTAAATGCATTTTTCTACACCTTGAATATACAAAAAATATTTAATAAAAAAAATTCTTTTTGTTGATTTTGTTACAGGAGCTTGCCTTTAAGCTAAATTTTAAGAAGTAATGAAAGCGACGAGGGAAATGATTTGGTAGCAGAAATGATTGAAATTATTGAAACAGTGGGATCGCTTTTTGTTAGGCTTCTCTGTATTCACAATTCACAGTTCAGCTAACAGTTTAGGTACATCAATATGCTTAATCTTTTGAGGTATACAAGTATTTGTCTCATTTTTTGGATATATTTCCCAGGTACAAAATTAAAAACCATGTATTCGAAATTACAGAGGAATCTGTATGTTGTAAGACATAGGAAATGATGGATTCGACTGAAAATTATAGGATTCTATAAGTGAAAAAAAACTAGCTAGAAACCTCTCGTATTTTTTTTAATTAGTCGCATACAATTTATGAATATGTTTTTTCTTTAATCTATGTGTGTGTTCTTTGATCTATATGTTTCTTTGTGGTATGTCATACTTATGTGTGTAATCTGATGTGTATGTGTAGGATCTGATTTATATGTATGTATGTGTGTCATTTCATCCACATACGATCCTATCACACCTATGTGTCATCAGATCTTTATGTCTCTATGTATATGTGATCTGGTATGTATGTGTGTGTCATCTAATATGAATGTATATATGATCCGGTCTATATGTGTGGTTCGTTTGATATTCATGTATATGTGATCTGGAAAATGTTGAACTGCAGGTTATTTACGCGACACAGAGGAAGTTTGGATGTACAAATTTTAAAGAAGAGTTCTCCAAACTTCATCAGCAACAGGTTGTATCTTTTTTTATGTTTTCTTGTATATTAATCTTCCTAACAAACAAACCATGATTATTTAATGGTTTTATGTTTGTGGGTTTGTCTCATCTTTTCTCTCTATTATTATTACACTCAAGAACAATAAAGTTGAAGACTTTTATGTTCTTCTTTCACCTAGGGCTTGGAGGAATGATGACAATTGGAATCCACAAACCCCGTTTCATAATTCCGCCCCACTATGGACCCCGGAATCATCAATTCCATTCTAACCCATCAATCATCAAAATGTCAGCTTCTTTTTACCTTTCTTTCTTTCATTATTTCTATCAAGTTATCAAACTCATAAGTTTCTTTAAACAGGACATTTAAATCAGGATAAAGATTCAAGAAAACTAATTTGTAGTTTTGTATTTATGCATGCATGATGAGCTATAGAGAAGGGTTTTTTTTTTTTTTTTTTTTTTTTTTTTTTTTTCAGCAATTAGAGTTTAATAATTTTTTTTTTCCAGATTTACTTTTAAGTTGAGTTTCTAGGACTTTTTTTTAGTAGAGATTATAAAAAATTGGATATGTAATGTAGATGAGATTTTCTTAACCATGAATTGAGAATTTCATTGGTCTCTATTAACTACATGAATTTTATTGGAATCTGTTGTGGTGGATTGGAATCTGAATTGAATGGACTGGAATGGAATGGATACACACACTTAAAAAAAAAAATAAATAAAAAAAAATAAAACACCATTCCAACCCATACAAAGCATGGACACCTACACTAGTTTTAACAAAAAACATCAATTTTTATATTAAAAAAGTACTGAATATCATTTATGTACTTTCTTTTAATAAGAACACTAAAAAACTGAAAATATTTATTTATTGTGAATGCACGTTTTTTTTTATAAATGTAAAACATTAAATTATTTGGTATGTAAATGTATTTATACTTTTAAATTTGATTGGCTATGATAAAAGGAATCACTAATAACTAGAAAAAGTATGTAAAAATAATGATTGAGGGGCAGCGATACATGGAAAGGGGTAGGGATAAATGAAACCTTGTCCCCTAAGGATCTTTCGGTGTTTTTGGTAGTTTTTTATCACATATAAGGATTTTCCGAATAAATACATTTTATTCCGACATAAAAAGGTTTTATTAAAAACGTATTAAGATGATGTAGTTGGATGCATCTTTTCAATTTAGAAAACTAGCTTCAGAAAATATTTAATCATTAGAATTATTATTTTTAAAAATATAAATAACTTTTTTTCCTATTTAAATAACACAAAGTTTAAGTAGTTGAATTAGTAATGTTATTTTGCTTTCTTCAAAACCCTGTGAAACTTTTTCTTTCAAATTTGACTCCCTCATATATTTGTTTCTTCAAGATTTGAACATAAAACCCAACAATTAGTCAATAAACCAATTTTCTATTTGACAATAAAAACTACGTGCCCTCCCTCCATCTCCAATCTCCATGGCATGGGACCCGGATCAGCTAAATCCCTGATTTTCCATGCCCTCGCCCATAACCCTCCTTCCTTCCCCTGTTCGTCGATTCCCAAGTGCATAAACGACAACCAAATCACTTGAATCCTTTATTGATCATACAAATTCGTTTTCAATCTATCAGCAATTGATACTAAATCAATTGAACCCATCAAAATCGTAGAAAATTTAATGATTTAAACAGATTGGTGATTTTTCATCAGTGTGAATCATTTCCATAGTTGAAGCTGAGCGATAAGTGTGCATCACTCATCACTGTTGAAGTGGATTTCAATTGAAAGGTATGTAATGGTTTATTAATTTCCCCCTGTTCTTTTACTATCCACTTTAACACTACTTGTAGGCACATTTGAAACTGCTTGTTTTAAATGTCATTTTAAAGCATATTGACTGAATCAATTTTTTTTATTCGAATTTAATGCCACATTAGCTATTTATGGTTGGCTCATAGTGTGGTGTTCAGAATTCATAGAGTATTAGAAAACAAAAAATATTTAAAGGAAATAAGTACCCATCACCAAATATTTGTCAACTCTTACCATAAAAACGTACACACCCAATACAATATAAGAGTAGTAATGTAATGGTTCCCAGGCATTCACACATTCACCCAATACACCAAATATTTGCAGCTTGTTGTTTAAAAAATGCGATCTTGATGCATATTAAGTGTTTGATGAAATGCCTGAATGAATTTTTTATTTGAATTTAATGCAACATTAGCTGTATTGTTTGTTCATAGTGCGGTGTTCTGAATTCATGGAGTATTAGAAAAGAAAGAATATTTAAAATAAATAAGTTTCATTCTCCAAATATTTGTCAATTCAAACCAAAAAATTGTGCACACCCAATACAATTTGAGAGTAGTAATGGTTGCCATAAAATGATATTGATATGTTAGCTAGCATTACACTTTCAGATGAGCTAATTTTTTTTTTTGTTATTTTACTTAGTTAATTTTCAGATGAGATAATTTATTCTTAAAAAGGTACATATTTTCTAGGTTGCTGAGGTTTGCTAGTGATGAAGGAATAGAACCACTTAGTCGATTTAGGCTCAACTCAAGATCAGTGAGAGACTTCAAATTCCTAAGTTCATTGGGAATGCAATCAGAGAGTTTATTGTAGAACAAATAAAGGATTTTCAAAGATGTTTGATCACCCAATCAATGATGAAGGAATTAAGCCAGATAGATGGTTTAAAGCGAGGCTTATGCCATTAAGTGATGACCTGGATCTTGTAATTTGACACTATTGGTATTTGTAACTTGAGATTGTGCTTCTGTATATATTGTTTAAAACTTTATTGAAATTTGTATTTGAGTAGAAAAATTATCATTTGTATTTGATATATTTTCCTATTTTTTATGTATGTGTCAACCACAAGTAAAATAACAGAGGCGCCTAAGACAATTTTGATGCAATTATTCTTATATTCTTTGCTCAAGAACGATCACATACACAGTATACAGGTCTCCACATTATAGTTATACTACATGGTGCTATAAAACATATGAAATTTTTTTTACCCATTAGGCATTCAAACTAATACATATATTCTAGATGCATCATAGGAAACTTAAGAAAAATAAACATGAGAAGTACACAGGATCACGCAACCAGAGATGTCAATTCAAAGCAGATCCTTCATGAACTGATTTGAAACTTGGTGCATTGTTGGCCTTTCTTTTGGATTTGAGTTCAAACATGCTCTTGCGAGAATGAATGCCAAATTTACTTGTTTCTCAACTTGTGGTGAAGGAAGTGGAATGCGACTATCTCCAACATTTGCCAACACCAGATAATCAGCAGACAATGTTGGCAGTTCACCAGGATGCTTTCCCATGATCACTTCTAGTGCAACAATCCCAAAGCTATACACATCACATTTCTCGGTTGCCACCATTGTATAAGCAAGCTCTACATCCAAAGAAACATAAGACAAAAAAAAGTTATATCAACCTCACATGATTCTATGAAAATGTAGAACTACAATCATATGATTATGTTACCTGGTGCGATACAACCATAGGTCCCAGCAATTGCGGTCCAATTGGATGAGTCTAGCTTTAAAAGCTTGGATGTGCCAAAATCAGAAATATGCGCCTCATAATCGGAATCAAGAAGGATGTTGTTGATGGAAATGTCTCTATGAATTATAGGAGGTGAGCAGTCGTGATGCATATAAGCCAAACCATTAGCTATAGCCTTTACAATATTGACCCTTGTCAACCAATCCAATTCTTTTGCTAAGACATCGCTCCTTAAGATTGATCCAAGGCTTCCCTTTTCAAGGTATTCATAAATCAAAAAGGAGTGGTGGGCATGTGAGCAATATCCATAAAGTTTCACTATGTTTCGATGCTTTATGTTCGTTAATGCTCGTATCTCGTTAAGGAATCCATTATGATCAACATTCTCAGCTGATGAGTGAAGCTTCTTGACGGCTACCACATTTTTAGGTTGCAGCTCGGCTTTGTACACAGTCCCATATCCTCCGGTCCCGATCGAGTATGCTTCATCAAAATTGTTCGTTGCTTTCAAGATATCATCATACACTACTCCTCCATCAAAACTTGTTATGGAGAAATAATCACCACCTTCATTATCCAATGGTTTCTGTGGAGAATGTCTCTTTTGTTTTCGATAAACAATGAGGCCACACATGAAAAAACCAAGTAAAATTGCCCCGATAAGAGGGAGCATAATTACAAGGATGAGTTGATGATGAAAGGGATCATTTTTCTTCTTCATGATTTGACTTGCACAGAATTTTAGTCCTGTAAAATTTCCACAAAAACCTGGATTGCCTTGTAAGGAAGCGTTGACAAAGTTAGAGGAAGGGGGAACTGGACCTGTGAGCTCATTGTTGGACAGGTCGATGTCAATCCCACTGGGTAAACTTGTAAAAGCGTTAGGAATGGAACCAAACAGTCTATTGTGAGAAAGATTCAACTTTTGTAGATTTTTCAAACTTTCAACTTCAGATGGTATCTCTTCAGTGAGCAAATTCAAATTCTGAGATAAATCAACTTCTGTAAGTTGAACTAATTTGCCAATCTCAGATGGAATTTTGTCACCGAGCATGTTATTACTAAGATTCAAGTAGTGGATATGTTCCCATTGACTAATACTTCTTGGTATTGACCCAATCAATCTATTTGCAGATAGATCAAGTACTTCAAGGAATTCTAAAAATCCGAGCTCTGGAGGTATAATACCTGAAAGTTGGTTATTAGCCAAGGATAAATTCAGCATACTTTTCATCTTCCCGAACTCCTTTGGGATTTCACCTACCAGATGATTGGAAGAAAGATCAAGCCTTTGTAGTTGAGTTGAATTTCCAAACTCTGGTGGTATGCTACCACTGATGTTGTTATAGGCCATCACTAATGCTGTCAAATTCTTGCATTTACTCCAGTTTTGAGAAAGTTGCCCGTGAAAATAATTGTGACTGATATCAAGAAAGTTTAAGCGTGGATAGATACCAAAGCTATTGGATATATCTCCAATGAATTGATTTTGGTCAAAACGAGCCCTAAGTAAGCTGGGACAATTCCGTAAGCCTCTTGAAATAGGCCCAGTGAGTTGATTACCTTCTAATAGTAACATTTGAAGCTTTCCCCCATGGCACAAATCTTCTGGTAAATGGCCAGAAAAATGGTTATTTGACAGCTCAAGTGTCTCTAGACTTCCCAATCCTAGTGGAATCGAACCAAATAATTTATTCGTGTGAAGGTACAGAGTCTGTAGCTTGCTGAGGTTTCCTAGTGATGAAGGAATAGAACCACTAAGTTGATTGTCACTCAAAGCAAGATTAGTAAGAGACTTCAAATTCCCAAGTTCAATAGGAATGGGACCAGAGAGTTCATTGTGGTGCAAATAAAGGACATTCAAAGATGTCAAATCACCCAATGATGAAGGAATGGAACCATTAAGCTGATTGTTGCTCACCACAAGATCAGTGAGAGACTTCAAATTCCCAAGTTCAATAGGAATGGGACCAGAGAGTTTATTGTAGTACAAATAAAGGACATTCAAGGATGTCAAATCACCCAATGATGAAGGAATGCAACCATTAAGTAGATTGTTGCCCACCTCAAGATCAGTAAGAGACTTCAAATTCCCAAGTTCAATAGGAATGGGACCAGAGAGTTGATTTTCGTCTAAATAAAGGATATTTAAAGATGTCAAATCACCCAATGATGAAACAATGGAACCATTAAGCTGATTGTTGCTCACCACAAGATCAGTGAGAGACTTCAAATTCCCAAGTTCAATAGGAATGGGACCAGAGAGTTTATTGTAGTACAAATAAAGGACATTCAAGGATGTCAAATCACCCAATGATGAAGGAATGGCACAATTAAGCTGATTGCGGCTCACCTGAAGATCAGTGAGAGACTTCAAATTCCCAAGTTCAATAGGAATGGGACCAGAGAGTTGATTTTCGTCTAAATAAAGGATATTTAAAGATGTCAAATCACCCAATGATGAAGGAATGGAACCATTAAGCTGATTGTTGCTCACCACAAGATCAGTGAGAGACTTCAAATTCCCAAGTTCAATAGGAATGGGACCAGAGAGTTTATTGTAGTACAAATAAAGGACATTCAAGGATGTCAAATCACCCAATGATGAAGGAATGCAACCATTAAGTAGATTGTTGCCCACCTCAAGATCAGTGAGAGACTTCAAATTCCCAAGTTCAATAGGAATGGGACCAGAGAGTTGATTTTCGTCTAAATAAAGGATATTTAATGATGTCAAATCACCCAATGATGAAGGAATGGAACCATTAAGCTGATTGTTGCTCACCACAAGATCAGTGAGATACTTCAAATTCCCAAGTTCAATAGGAATGGGACCAGAGAGTTTATTGTAGTACAAATAAAGGACATTCAAGGATGTCAAATCACCAATGATGAAGGAATGCAACCATTAAGTAGATTGTTGCCCACCTCAAGATCAGTGAGAGACTTCAAATTCCCAAGTTCAATAGGAATGGGACCAGAGAGTTGATTTTCGTCTAAATAAAGGATATTTAAAGATGTCAAATCACCCAATGATGAAGGAATGGAACCATTAAGCTGATTGTTGCTCACCACAAGATCAGTGAGAGACTTCAAATTCCCAAGTTCAATAGGAATGGGACCAGAGAGTTTATTGTAGTACAAATAAAGGACATTCAAGGATGTCAAATCACCCAATGATGAAGGAATGCAACCATTAAGTAGATTGTTGCCCACCTCAAGATCAGTAAGAGACTTCAAATTCCCAAGTTCAATAGGAATGGGACCAGAGAGTTCATTGTGGTGCAAATAAAGGACATTCAAAGATGTCAAATCACCCAATGATGAAGGAATGGAACCATTAAGCTGATTGTTGCTCACCACAAGATCAGTGAGAGACTTCAAATTCCCAAGTTCAATAGGAATGGGACCAGAGAGTTTATTGTAGTACAAATAAAGGACATTCAAGGATGTCAAATCACCCAATGATGAAGGAATGCAACCATTAAGTAGATTGTTGCCCACCTCAAGATCAGTAAGAGACTTCAAATTCCCAAGTTCAATAGGAATGGGACCAGAGAGTTCATTGTGGTGCAAATAAAGGACATTCAAAGATGTCAAATCACCCAATGATGAAGGAATGGAACCATTAAGCTGATTGTTGCTCACCACAAGATCAGTGAGAGACTTCAAATTCCCAAGTTCAATAGGAATGGGACCAAAGAGTTTATTGTAGTACAAATAAAGGACATTCAAGGATGTTAAATCACCGAATGATGAAGGAATGCAACCATTAAGTAGATTGTTACCCACCTCAAGATCAGTGAGAGACTTCAAATTCCCAAGTTCAATAGGAATGGGACCAGAGAGTTGATTTTCGTCTAAATAAAGGATATTTAAAGATGTCAAATCACCCAATGATGAAGGAATGGAACCATTAAGCTGATTGTTGCTCACCACAAGATCAGTGAGAGACTTCAAATTCCCAAGTTCAATAGGAATGGGACCAGAGAGTTTATTGTAGTACAAATAAAGGACATTCAAGGATGTCAAATCACCCAATGATGAAGGAATGCAACCATTAAGTAGATTGTTGCCCACCTCAAGATCAGTGAGAGACTTCAAATTCCCAAGTTCAATAGGAATGGGACCAGAGAGTTGATTTTCATCTAAATAAAGGATATTTAATGATGTCAAATCACCCAATGATGAAGGAATGGAACCATTAAGTTGATTGTTGCTCACCCGAAGATTAGTGAGATACTTCAAATTCCCAAGTTCAATAGGAATGGGACCAGAGAGTTGATTGTGGTGCAAATAAAGGACATTCAAAGATATCAAATCACCCAATGATGAAGGAATGGAACAATTAAGCTGATTGTGGCTCACCTGAAGATCAGTGAGAGACTTCAAATTCCCAAGTTCAGTAGGAATGGGACCAGATAATTTATTCACACCTAGGTGCAGAACCTGTAGGTTACTCAGGATTGCTAGAGATAATGGAATAGAACCTCTAAGTTGATTGTAGCTTATGGAAAGTGTATTGAGAGATTTCATGTTCTCAAGTTCAATAGGAATGGGACCAGAGAATTGATTGTGGTGCAAAGAAAGGACATTCAAAGATGTTAAATTACCCAATGATGAAGGAATTACTCCAGAAAACTTATTCAATGAAAATTTCAGATATAGAAGTTTGGTCAGGAGTCGGATTTCTGATGGGATGGGGCCAGAGAAGTTGTTACTGAGATCAAAATGAGTAAGACCGGGTAGCAATGAGAATGAAAACTGATGAAGCGTACCATTTAAGCCATATGAACTGAGGCTTAGCCTCTGAATGCTCCCATCAGCATTGCAAACCACTCCAAACCAAGAACTGCATGGAAATGATGCATTGGAATTCATATGGAGGGGAAGCCATGAAGAGAGAAAGGAGTTGTTTGGGATTTCAAGGCTTGCTTTCCATTTAAGAAGATCATTGGCTTCCTTCAGAGTAGCAGAAGCAAAATTTGGTATGGCATAGAGTGTAATGATTAGTAGAGCAAGGGAGAAATATAAGAAGTTTGATGAAGCCATTATTTGCTTTAGCTGTTACTGTATAAAAACGGATGGTTTGCATGTTCAATTTTATACTTGAGCTACCTTTTTATCTTGTATATATATATATATATATATATATATATATATATATATATATATATATATTTATTTATTTTCACATTCTAGAAAGAAAATTTGGGCAATTTCATATTTTTCCACAAAGGATTGTTTTATACTTTGAATTGTATCTGTAACGGCCTTAATCCTTTTTTCTTAGAACAATGAAATTCGTTGTAACCCAAAATTTTGCAAGGCACTAGGAATTACAAAAACACAATGGTATTATATGTTATTGTCGAATTTAACAGCCTAATAATATTACTTTAACTTGATTATATAGACATTAATTTTTGTTTTCTGATTAATGCTAGTAGAAGTACTTTCACTAAAACTGTGTTTTGCTTCATAAGCAGTGCTGTAACTGATGACTATTATGTAGGTGATTGCCACGTCAAAACTGTTTCAATGAGTCAATGGAGATAGGGACATAAGGGTCCCTTAAAAGAATCTAAAAAGAAATGAACATTGTGTGATACTTGAACGTGTGAATGAGGGAAAAGAGGATAAATATAAAGATAATTAAATAATAACTTATGGTTCTTATCGTTCACTGCATTTCCTACATCTCTTAATTTCTTTTATCTCCGGAAGTGACTAAAACGTCTCATTCTCATACTTGCGTCGTCTTAAAAATGGAAATAATTAAATAAAAATGAAAATACAACTGTATTCTTGTCTGTTTCTCTTATTTCCCACAGCTGATAAGTTTAAACAAATCTTTAGAAATCTTCTGCACATCTCTTAGGGTCCTTATCTTCACATATTAATGAGAAACCAATGTAGAGTGCGGTTTACTTCTGAAATCAATGTTTTTTTAGCAAACGACTCTATTAATGGGTCAATGGTGATGGCCCCTTTATAAGAATCTAAAAAATGAATGGACCTAGTCTTTTTAATTTTTATTGAACGTGTGAATGAGGGTAAAGAAGATGATTTAAAAGGATAATGATATCATTCTTTGGGTTTATTTCATCCGGCTTTATTATTAAAAAAAGAAAACAATTAATTAAATGGTGAAAAACAACTTTATCCGTATACATATAAAGAATTACTTTTTCTAGTTAAACTGAGAAGTAAATAAAGATAGACGAATAGATAGAAAAGCATGGGTACTTCGAATTCACCATCAAGTGCTGTGCCTTTTGGATACAAAATGTTACTCTGAATCTAAAAGAATTGGAGTAACCCTTGCGAAATCTGATACTTCCCTCCGCTACTGCTTCTGCTTGACTTCTCTTTTCTAATTTCTTGTAAAATTACGTATTTGCGCAATTCCAATTTCCCAAATTTTGTATTCTCTTTTAGTTTCGTTTCGGACTTGTCTTTGTGATTTGGGCAAATAAACATAGAAAATAACTTCTGGGCCCCTTCTACATTTTGGGCCCTGTGCAATGGTGGCTTTAATATCTCGCAAAACGTACTCAACTTGAAAATAGTATTCAACCTCTAAAAATTGAAACTTTGTTAAAAAATCCCAGAATTTTTGTACATTTAAATGATATCGAAGAGAATGTTTGTAAATCCTCAAGGGATATTTAATTCAGCGTTATACACATTTAAAATAAAAGCATAAATACTAAATCCAAAGGCCAATAAATCAACTAAAGCAAAGTGTCTCAAACACTCAAGCAAATTCTTGTCTCTTACCCCGCTATATGATTTACCCAATCTACTCTGTTTTTTTTTTTCTTTTTTTGAAATTCTTTAAACGATTGTATAGTTGAAACAAAAAAAGAACGATGTCTTTTTCATCCCTTTTTCAAGAACATTGTTGAATCAAACATGTGGTCGATCTAATTTGACTATTTTGGTAATTGAAGAGGTTTTTGAACAAAATCGATTAAGATGTACTCTGTTTTGAATTTTTGGTTAAGCAGAAGGAGCTCAAGTCAGATAATTGTGGAAAAAGACACATCACATTCACAAAATTTTTTGCTCTCTTTATAGCTAAGCTGCTAATGAAACTAGCATCTTTACTAGCACTAGCAGCTCCCCCAAGAAGTTTCACCCCCAATGGTGGCCTCCTAATCCCACTGGGAATACCCCCCCCCCCCCCTCTCACGAAGCTTCCTACCATCACATGATGACCAAAAGAGCTTGGTTTTATTGATATTCAACTAAAGGCCCAATTCTAGGCCAATCACCTTAATGATGTCCAACGCTTTGGCCACCTCCTTCAAATCTCCAATAAGTATGTCATCATCAAGGTACCATGCATGGAGAAGAAGCTTGTGATTTTCTCTAATGTTATGCACGAGTGGGTGCAGTACAAAGGCAAAAAGCAATGGTCCCAAGGGGTGTCCTTGTTGAACCCCAGTAGTAGACCAAATATGTGTGTCTCCTAGATACAATCTAGATGCTTGACCATATAGGAATTCTACCCATAAGGATATAGAAGGTCACCTCAATATGACATCATGAAGTAATGTGGATCTGTCCACATGGTTAAAGGCATTGGAGAAGTCCACAAAAGCATGGAAAGAGACCCGTCACCGTAGCGCTCACTCACCACCATGTTGGTGCTATGTAATCAGCCTCAACAACACCCGACACCCCGAACCCGAACTAAAAATCATTGAGATACTTGGCCATTTTTTTACCAATAACTTTCATAGCCAACATGGAAACCAAATGTCTCCATATAGTTTCTACTGCAATAGGACGTATTCTCATATCATGTTTTACTAGTGGTGTGAGAGGAGCAAAGACAACAAATTCTGCCAAAATCGATGGACATGTTCCTCTAGCTATAGATTAACCACATATGTAATGGCACTTATGAGCTCTTTGGCAATAGTTGAACCTTCTCCACAGAGAGCATCCAAAATGTGTTGATTTCTCTACCCATCTCTCACATACGAGGTTCCTTTAGGGAATGATGCCTCCAAGGACATTGTCAATATCCACTACAATGGGAGATTATGAAAATATGGTACTCGACATGGATGGTGATGGCTTATATGGATGCTTATCCTCCAAAGCCTTCGTTGTATAATCCTCGTATGTAGTATTAGAAAATTGAAGTGTGATTTCTATATAATTATATTACAGGGTTATGAGTGTAAATATATATATATATATATATATATATATATATATATATATACTCTTATTGTAATCGTGTTTATATAATATACAGCATTACTGATTACCAAAGTCAACTTGGTATCAGAGCCTTACGGTGTACCCTAAAAAACACCGATGAAAAGAAAACAAAAGAAAGAGACGATCAAAAGCAAACAACCGATCAAGCCTATAGTACTTCCCTTTCTTGCTTCTGTCGATTTTTGTAACGCCCGGGTTTTCAGGGCTAAGCATTTTTGTCAATGTAATAGTCTAGGTCAACTATTGTAACTCTTTTCGAAGTAATAAATATGAAATATTTGAGTATTATGTGAATTATGTGTGTTTATGTGTTTATTATTTAATTATAAATGTATAATTAATAAAGAATAAAAATGAGCGTCAAAATTAAAGTGTGAGATAATCCCGATATCTCTACATAAAGTTGTAGAATATGTCTCAAGGTTTCCGTGCATATAAAGAATGCCGAAATCCGAGCTATAAAGAAGAAGTTATGGCCCGCCGAAGTTTTACGACAAAATCGGCACGACACCGGGAAACGTAAATAGTGAATTTACGATAGAAGACTTTTTAGCCTTAGCAATCTAAACAAAAGTCGTAGAATATGTTAAACTAAGAACATCGATAAAAAGAACGCCCAAATCTGACTTCGTATGAAGAAGTTATGATTTTTCTAAGATTCGGCTTAGCAGTGCACGGCCTGAAACTCGAATTTTAGTTCGAGCGGTTTTTGGCTTACGCAACATAAATGAGAGTTGAAGATCTCATTAATAGGAAATCAACGGTAAAAAGACAGACAAAAACAGAGTCCGTATGTAGAAGTTATTAATTTTACGCAGACGTTTAACAGTATAATCTCCTTGTACTGTTAAATTTAAGATCGGTCGAGAATTAGCTGACGGTGTCAAAATGAAAGTTGTAGATCTTATTATTACCTACGCGTGGATATAAAGAACGTCAAAAACGGAGGTCGTATGTGAAAGTTACGGATTTTAGAAGTCGGAAGTGTGCTGTGCGAAAATGGGTGATGTGGCACAATCTTGGCCATTGCTTTCTCCCCAAGGCTTGCCACCAGATGGTGACATGTGGCACCAAGTTCAGCCACATTTCACCCTATAAATACCACCTCTCCCACCCTCATTTTCTTCACACCTTTCCCATTCTTTCTTCTCTTTACTCTCTCTCTCTCTAGAACCTCTCTCTAGCCCCGAAATCCCCCGAAAAGCCTAGGGAACCTCCCTAGCACGAGGCGGAAGCCCCGGAGTGCTCGAAGGCTCTGAGAAGAAGAGCTTTTCGGCTCGGGAACGCTGCTCCAAGCAAAGCCCGGTTTTCTATAAAACCCGCTGTAAGTGAGCTACGCCTACGCTATTTTTAATATAACTTTTATTTAATTATAGTAACGTTATTAGGAACTTATAATAAATACTTGGGCTATTATTATGGGTTATATAAGTATTTTTTTGACGCTTATATAATAATAATAATAGCTAGACTATTAATTAGTCTCGACGAATAATAAACTAAACTCTAGTGGTAATAATACTAGGTTTCGTCGAAGAAAAATTCTTTTTAAGAAGCGAAGCGCTGTCTGAGTTCGGAATCACCACCTTTTCCGGTGAGTGCATAGTTACCTTCAACTTACACATAGATATGAAGTATTTTATATAAATTACGTGCTATGTGTGCATATTATCTGAATACTTGCTATCTATGCTAGATGAACGTTGTTATACATGTTTTCAATGATTTAAACTGTATATGTATTTTATATCTACGAAAATGTTGGGGTAAAACATGGGTAGATGTAATAGGTGATGTGTGATAAAATGATG